AAGTTTGTTTTTGTGTCCTTTACAGGATGTTTGCAGAACCAACGGTAGCATAAGAGGGGGGTGGGGGAGGGGGCATTGCACCTGAACTGTCCATATCACTGTCGAAGACAACGCAAAATCAATAGATAGACTTGTTTATCCCCTTGCTAACTGGCGGTTTACCACAACGATATTTACACACACACAATATATATATATATATATATATATATATATATATATATATATATATATATATATATATAGAGAGAGAGAGAGAGAGAGAGAGAGATGACAGAATAACAAGATAGACCCCAGCTTCCCCGTCCAATCTTAAAAAAAAAAGAAGTTATAATTAAATCACCGTAACGGCCAAAACAATCCCGTGTAATCCTGTACGGGTAGTGACGTGATCACTGCAAAGCGGCCTGCTGTCAGATCGCCTACAGCTGACTCGAACCAGTATCTCGATATTATGAAACACGATAACAGCTTTAAAAAAAATTAAATACGAAATAACTACTGCATTACAATATGAAGGAAGGCCGTGGGTTATAGTCCTGACGATACCTGCCTGTTTTTCAAAAAATACCTTTGCTCCCAGGTCGACCCAACCTTGACTGGGCACCAGGTACAGCTTTGGGAAGTAAAGGCGGTCGGCGTGATGCTGATCACATCTCTTATCGAGTGCCAATTGGTCTGTAAAATGTAGGACCAGTCCTATGTGCCCAACACGCCAGCAGGCGTGGAAAAGGGTCCTTTCCTTAAACCAAAAAGGGAACAGTGTCAAGTAGACCGCGGGTGCGCGCGCACGCACGCACACAGACACGACACACACAGACACACGCACATAGAGAAGCACACACACACACACGCATACACACACACACATACTTTCCCACACACCGAAACACACACAAAGAAACACACCCACACACACACATGGAGAGAGAGAGAGAGAGAGAGAGAGAGAGAGAGAGTACAAACTGTAACACAAAACTTCATGGCTGTTTTCTAACGAACGCCGTGTAGTAATAGATATAGCCTGTGCCGCGATTCTCAAGCAGCCCTTTTGCGTTATTTACAAACAGAATTCACGTTACATTTGTTCCGTCTTTCACACTTAAAAATACATCTTCGGTTCGCCAGAAGCTTTTATAAAAATTGTAGTCTGGTAGTGAAAATCCATGGGCGTGTCTTCACAAATAAACACACCTGTGAGATCGTCGTCTGCTATATTTAGGTAACAGGATTCTGCTGTCGGCTTTTGCAAAACATCACATTTCTGTTAACGGTAAGAGTTGTTGTTTACATGCTGTCATAACAATCATAACAGTAATAGTAATATATGCTTTAGAATGTTTCTTGTATTTTGAAAATACCCTATAAAGTTGAACTAAGATATTAATTTTCTGAACAACTTTATCTCGCAGACTTAGTAGTGAGTAGTGTATATATTAATATTATGTATGACGGATTCTGGTGTTATTTATAATTATATTAAACAGTTATTTCCTTGTGGGATGCAATTTTTAGTTATTTTGAAGCCCCACCCTGGCTTTGCCAGGGGCCCTAAATATAGCTGGCCTATAAATATAGCCTAACGGCTGAACGGGGTTTCCGAGACCTCATCCACATGTTAGCACTTTGTGTCACGGGGTGTTTATCGCTTGTGTGATGTCATGGTGTGGTAAAACCTACATGCCTACCTACCTTTATAATTATACTGTTTGTAATTAGACAGTCTAACTCAATATACAAAACAGGTTGACTGATTTACTACCAGTACTAATATTGTTACAGTGTAGAACTGGATAAAGAAAACACACATACTATGATAATTTACACAGAGTTTTGCATTGTCCATTTTCAGTGTAAACTTTTGCTGTTTCAAATCTCATATTATAAATTCTTTCTGTCATCTGTGCAGTTTAAATCTTTATTATTTTTATTATTATCTGGTTTAAATTGTATAGGTTATGATTAAAAAATATATATAATCATCATTTTGATAATATTCTTACTATTGGCTTTAAAAAAGTTGATTTATTATTGAATTTATGTCCTTCATAAAAAAGTCGTTTTATTATTGAATTTATGTCCTTCATATAGATATTAATATAAATACAGTGGAACCTCGGTTATGGAACTTAATTCCTACCTAAGAGTTGTTCAGAAACTAAGCTGTTTGAAAACTAAACCAGTTTTCTCTATAAGAATTAAAGTGAAATGAATTAATTTGTTTCTTAACTTCGGATTATTGTTTCAACATTCCAACTTTTTTTTGTTTTTTGTGAATGCTTCATGTTTAAAAGTATAATAAGAATGAAAATGTAGGCAGTTTTTTTTTTTTAAACATTTAAATTAACACAGTGAGTAGATAGTTATCAACAAAAATGTAATGATCTCTTTATCTGTACTAACGAGAGTTGATGTCATAATTAAACGTCAAATAGAAAGTCAAATAGACAGATCTTACTGGTTATAAATGGAACTCTCTGCTACAAAAACAGATAAAATCAGGTAACTTTCCTCATGTAATTCTGTTTACTTTCATCTTTTTTTTCCACCTAACACCATTAAACTTTGTTTGAAACTACGTAGACCTCTGTCTCACTAAAACATGTGCATTTTAAAATCTTTCTAGAATGGTACATAGCACTGTCATTTACAAAAACCACTTTTGCAATGCAGTTTAGTCTGAAAGCTAAGTTGCTACAGATCTTCTTACCTCACCCCATTTCCCACACATTTTTTTGGGGTCAGTGAATGAAGAACATCTTCCCTTCATTCCTCTTGTCCTGAATTGTCCAAAATTATATTTCTCTCTTCCTTCTGAAGGTGTTCTATTTCTTCCAAAGTGAGTTTATTCATGTGATCCTGACTCCTCCACATCAGCTGCGACCACATCCAAACCCTTTTTTTTTTTTTAGCCTAGTAACTTTGCTACACCATCTGGCTCAGTGGTGAGGCGTGATGAGTTTGCAAATGAAAGTGTTAGCAAGTAGTGATTCCACTAAAGAAGGTATCACATGATATTTCTCTTCTCGTTGCTCGGCTTTTGAGATAATGCATGCATAGCACAGCTGGCATCATACTACTAGTAACTGGTAGCTTTCACATGTTACAGTTTCTACATGAGTTACATAAGCATGCAGCAAGCATTCTTTTGGTTATGTGTAAGGCATAAACTGAGTGGCATATTTTGTAATAACTAGGAAACAATAATAATAAATAGTAAAATAAAGCACTTTTTTGGGGGGTAAAGGAAAGTGTAAGCGACAATTACTGCCCTTTTTTGCACACTCCACTACTAGTCCACTTACAGTTATCTCCAGGATAGGTTCAGGGTCCTGTGAGTCACTTGCACCTAACCTTTGTTCAGGATGTATAAACTTTGGAGGATAGTGAAGTCTCTTCTTCTTCTCTTCTTCTTCTTCGCGCTCACCAGCTGTAAACTTTGGTGGAAAGTTCTGGTTGTTCATCCACTTCTGGACTGAAGTCCTGTTGCAGAACTTGAATGTTGTGTGTGCATCCGTTTGACAGATCTAATTTGCATGCAGATTGTTGGTTCCTTGCCTCTCAGGCAGGTTCACTGACTTTGAAGGAAGCTCCCAATTAGTCGACTCTTACGACATGATTTTAGGCAGGCAGTGGGTCTGTTCTTGTTTTCCCTATAACAGGGCCCGGAACCCACACGAGGAGGATGATGAACTTTTTTCTGCTGAGTTCTGGGACAGAGGTCACATCAAAACATTTTTAAGATGCTGCTTTGTTCTATTTTCCTAAAGTTGTCAGTCACATGCTGGTCCTTGGCTTGATTAGAGGAGTTGTCTGAATCTCAACCCATGAAGTTAGTTAGTTAGTTAGTTAGTTAGTTAGTTAGTTGGGTTATCCTCATTGCACTCCGGACATAACCATAGGTGCTCAGATCCTCCCCTCAGTATGAACCCCAACGTCCGATGGCTAATAGTACCAGTTCTATGTTGATTAACAAGTCTTCTGGCGTAACTGGTGTGTGTCTCGTTTTTTGCTGTGCCGATCTTAATTCCCAAGTCTGCCATTCTGGCGAGTGATGTGGATTCACTGCCACCAAAGTCGTCTATCCTTCCCATTTCTCTGAGGGCATTGATAATATCAGCATGATCCATAGGCTGACCGTCGGTACCCCATGAAGTATACCACCCCAACAACAAGAAAGAGAAAAACAGCGCATAGCTAGTGAAAGGAAAATAATTTTGACATTCAAAATCTTTGTAATTTAATGAGTGAAACTATTCAAATTGCATACAAGAATACCTTAGGGTTCACCCAATCAGTTGACAGTTCTGTTGCATCTTGGTCATCGATAGTTTTCAGGTGTACAAGCTTTCTGTCAACTAAAAAATATCTGCCATCAGATAAATTAAAAGTTTGTTTTAAAACAGGAGATATGTTTTCGATATTGGCTGTTCAGTAACCGAGGCTGAATGCTGCATTAAGGATCGACATCACAGCACTCAGGACACTCCCATAAGTGCCCAGTCCCCTTCTTCAGCAGCAAGTGAAGAGTTCTAATTCCAGTAGTATCAGTAACCATCTGTTTGTATATCCGTCTCATCTTTCTCCTGAGAGTTGAGCATCAACCAGATCTCCTGGTAAGTACTCGCAGTGCCATTCGCACCTCCACACTGTTCACCCGTTTCCAAAGGACCCTCACAATATCTAACTTGTCATACATCAATTCACCACCAAGTGGTGCAGAGCCAGCCAGTCTATCTGCCTGCTCATTTCCCGAGGTAACCGAGGTTCTGTTACGGAACTGAGATATTTTCACCCCCTGAGAATTGTGTTCAGAAACTGAATTGTTCCAGGGTGGAGTTTTTTGAAAACTGTGGTTCCTGTTTTATTAGACAGAGAAAAATTCATGTACCTCACCTGAAACTAAAAGAATATTATAATTGATATAAATATCATTCTAACTGGAATTGTTTTACAGACAAAAATTTCTTCTGTGAGTGCCAAACTTGAGAAACCCAGTCATGACTATTGGTTGGAAAACTCTTGATGTCGGAGAAAAGGTAGATATAACTATTTTATATTTATTTATTAGCAAATGTGTGCACATTAGAGCTGACAAATTGCTTTGTTTAAAAAAAATTTAGTATTTTGAAATGTTTTGTTTTGTTTCTAGCATGCCGTTATTTAACCATTTGTTTCTATTTAACAACTCTTTCCTACAAACGCTTCCCACAACAATCTTTTCTTCGTGACACATACATGGTTAGTGATAATTTTTTTTGTGGGGGGGGGGGGGCCTTTTCTTTTGATAATTTATATCTTTAAATACATGCATAAATGTTTAGGTAATATTCACTAACTTGAGAGATAATTTTACTAAAATTGTGAATCAACAAATACAAGTTGACTGTATGAATGAATAAAGATAATAAATTAATGTACAGAAGTTGATTGTTTGGACGGGTTAACATATTGAATTAATGTAGTTAAGTTGCGTACTTGGATGAATTGAGATGGTGGATTCAAGTTTTTAAAAAAATGTGAATTTAAGATGAAGATGAGATGTTGGATTGTGGTAGAAAAGTAAAATTTATGAAATAAACCTGTAATTTATAAATGAAATCTGTATAATTTGTTTTTATTCCCTTAGGCTTTAATCTACAATAAAGATGGTAGTGCAAGGATCATTGAAGGTCCACTAAGGGTGAGTTATAAGGTTAAAAACTGGTGAACAGTTGACAGTTAAAACACTTCTGGACCCATGAATATAGGTTTCTCGTAAAGTAACCTATTGATGTACCTACGACAGGTCCACCCAACTGGTAGGGAGTTTATTTGTTCAACTGATGTTGCTCGAGAATTAGGAAGGACATCAAAGGAATAGCACAATTCTATCAGCCCTGTTAAAGACCGGAAACACATGTAATGCATAAAAATGTGAACAAAAACAGCTACAGTAAAAAAGCATGCGTGAAGTATTCAGCACTTGGAAGTTAGCGGACTTGGAAATAAAGAACCAGAAATAATTAACTCCTGGCCATATTATTTTCCTCAGACCGTAATGATCTAACTATGCCTCGGCACTGTTCACTCACTCCCAAAGGGACTGTCACAACATCCAGCTTGTCATACACTAGTTAACCACCAACTGGTGCAGAAGCATCCAGACTGTCTGCCTGCTCATTTCCCAGCACACTGGCATAACCTGGAGAAAATTGCCAAAGGATGCTAACTATCCGGAACCTTTGAAGTTATGTTTGCCAATCTCCACATAGCATGCCTGTCTCCACCTTTCTCAACATACTCTGTGAGTCAATTACAATGACGGCATGTGTGTGAATGATACAGATTAGACAAGCTAGTAGAACAAAATCTGTTGTACAGACGTACACCCCATGTAACAACAGTTACAGTGAATAGGAAAAAAGAAATACTTCGATCAACTTTCAGATATATTAAGAAGGGTGAACGAGAAAAACATACTGATAGTGATGGGTGATTTCAATGGCAGAGTAGGGAAAAGAAAAACACTATAAAAAGACAGCATAGGACCATTCAGCGATGTGGTGACATAATGTAATAATAATTGTGAATTTCTACTCAACCTGTATTTCAAACATACACTAATAATAACAAATACTTTTTTTCAACATTGGCTAGTCACATGGAAACTTTGTATACATGTAATAACACAGACCCGGCATTTCAGATCGATTTTATTCTAATAAGGAAGACAGATAGAAAACTGTTATTAGACTCAGACGCAATCACTGATACTGATCATAAATCAGTGATAGTAATAAAGAGAATATGCCACAAGAAAACAAGATGCAATAAGTTAACAACAAAGTCATCAATGTGAGGGAGTTACAGGAAAACACTGTCAAAAGCCAGTTTTAAGAAGACAACAAAAAGCTGTTTAAAAACCTTTCTGCCGAGTACACAGATGTACAGAAAGAATGGGCAAACTTTAAATCTGCCATGTTGTACACTCTTAAAAACCAATGCAGAAATAAAAAAATTTGACGAGACAAATGATTAAGAACTGCATTGTGGAATAATGATGTGAAAGATATCATTTCTAAACAGAAGGAAGCACACACAAAAAATAGATTAAATCCAAATGGGAACAAAATTATGTTACACATAGATTGATAACAAGAGATGCAGAAAGAAAGATCAAAGTGTCTAAAGATGAATCATGGAACAAGTTTGGAGAGCAGATGGCCACACTTTAGAAGTTACCTTAGAGAATTTTACAAACAGGTTAAAAATTATGAGAGCAATATATGAATGCAACCTAACCACCATTATAAACAAGAGAGACAGTCCTGTAGTTAATTCACATTAACGGCTAACAAGATGGGCAGAATATTTTGTAGAGCAACTCAACCCTGAAAACGAGGTAGATAACATCAGTTTTGTGACCAAAAATACACACACACACATGCATGCATGCACACACACATATATATATATATACATATATATATATTGGCGCGGTGATTTATGTCACAGGCATTAGAGAAAGTTAAGTCCAACGTGATGTGTATAAGTATATACTCTGTACGTCACTCGGGCGCCAATCCTTCACTGTTCTGGTTTTACGGAACCTCACGCAAGACCCCTGCAGTTCGTCCTCGTCGTGCGCCGCGGATAATGTATCAAATGAGCATTAACAGAGCTGACAGGGGATCTCGGAGTTTGGCGGCCCCTAGAGGTGATGTGTCCTTGTGGCTCTCATCAGCCCGTCCCCAAACGCATGGGTGAAAAAGCTTAGTAAAACTCATTAGGAACATGAGTAAAGTGCTTGCCAAACGTACAACTAAAATAACAACCCTTGGTTAAAAGATTGCGGAGCGAAGAGAACATTGTTCTGCTGAGATTTAACCCTTGACCTAGAGATTTACCCGCAGCACAGACGAGTAACATCTCCTGTGGGTGGCGTCTCACAGCAAGATTCTACCCATGTACATCCTCTGTTAACCCTCAGTGTCACAAAAGTCCAGAACCCGCGGGCTGCTCCCCACTGATTTCCGGGGGGTGCAGACCTTGTCGAGCTGGAGGCCTAATACAGTTGTGAGGTTAAGCAGGCATGTGAAGGACGTGACGATTCCTTAGGTGAGCCCAGAACCAGAGCGACATGTGCCGGCTCTGCATAGATGGAAGCCTCTTTGGATGGCGGGGAATGCCCATGATCTGTCTTTGCCTTCCCTTGAGGGCTAACCGTTCCACAAGGGGCTGCCTCAAAGGGGTACTCCGGGGGCAACACCTGCGGAGAAGACGACAAAGAGGACACCACACGATTCAGGCAACGTCTCGACCCACACAAAACAATGGCCACAGTCATCCTAGAAATAGGCCTGACCTCTTCCCTCGAAGTCGGAGTACATCTGCCCGCGAGGCAGGGAACAGCAAAACGGTTGTACACGCAAAGTTCAGGTCCAGGTAAAAGCCAAAAGTCCAAGCAAACGATTAACCGGGACCTTCCGCCGGAATTCACAGCCGGTGAACGAAGAAGAAGAAGATATAAATAGCACATAAGAAAGAAACAGAGAGAAAATAAGAAAGAATGATTGTAAGGGATGGACAATGAAAAAGAATGAAGAGGAAGAATGAAAAAGAATATAAGAAAGAATGATAATAAGAGATGGATAATGAAAAAGAATGAAGAGGAAGAATGAAAAAGAATATAAGAAAGAATGATAATAAGGGATGGACAAAGAAAAAGATCGAAGAGGAAGAATGAAAAAGACAATAAGAAAGAGAATTTTTACAAAAAAGGCAGACAGAAAGAGTGCATTCATTTTGTACACAATTTTCCCTTTAGCTGTTCCTGTTTCGAGAGCTGTTCAAAAAGATGATCTGTTACTCTGCGAATCAGAAAGAATATTTGGTCATCAAATACAGAAATGGCAACACAGAGCACATGAAAGGGTTTGTAATAGATTGTCAGAAAGTGTATTCATGTGTGTTTACTGAACAAAGCACTACTCTTTAGGATGGTAGGACTTTTTTTGGGGGGGGGGGGGGGGGGGGGGGGGGGGGGGGAGTGTAAGGATTTAGGGCCATGTAATTCATTCATAATTGTTTAGTTATCTTCTTCTTTTGTTAGCTTGAAATAGATTATCTATATCTGCAATGTTGTCTTTAGTATGAACTTTACTATATAGTTATGAAACAAATATTGTGATCTGTCAGAATCACTAGAGAAACATTTTTTTTAGTGTTTCCCATTAAGACTACAGCCTGAAGAATTACCGTCTCAAGGATGAGAACCAGACAGATATGAATGCCACAAACCCTGTTCAACCGTGAAGACATATAGCATTATTATACTGGGACACCACACAATCATTATGAGGTAACATGTAGTCAAGTGTGGATGGTTTTGATGAGCATTGAAATGGGAAACAAATGAATAGTGGAAGTGAGGACATTCGAGAGACTCATTCAGATCAATGTTTGCTGGGAGAGACCAAAGATGATAAGAGGATAGAATTGAATGCCCCCCTGTGGGTTCTAGGGCCCCATTTGGGGTGGGAGGGGAAATAGACCCACTACCCCCAACCCCCAACAAGTAAGCTGTAAAAGCCGACTAATTAGGGGTTTTCCTTTGAAGTCAGAGTGCATCTGCCTGAGAAGCAAAAAACCAACAGTCTGCACACACATAAACTATATCTGTAAAATGGATGTGCATGCAAAACTAAAATTCTAGAAAAAAGACAAGTCCAAAAGTGGATGAACAACCGTAACTTTCCACCAGAGTTTACAGCAGGTGAACACAAAGAATAAGAAGAAGAGGAATTAAATGAAAGAATCAGCTGTTAACCTTATCTGATATATAAATGGCATATCTAATCTGTTCAGTTAAAGTAATTAACCATGATCAATGCAGCATCCAGACTGTATCTCATTTCCGTACAAAATATTTCTTTTAGTTTTTTTTTTTACCTTAATGGAACATAGGCCTTAGGCCAAGTTTTACTAAATTTTCTTATTCTTTTTTCACCCATGTACATATAAAATGTCGGTGTCTGTGGCTTAGGCATTGCGAACGAGCTTCGTAACGCCGGGGTGCCGGATTCGATCCCAGCTGCAGGCATTGTGCTTTGCTTTGGTTTCGACAGTGGTATCGAGACGCCAACCATCCAGAAAGCAATGGCAAACTACTGGACGTAAATTTGCCTAGAAAAACCACAACAGCCAAAAAATGCTGGGGTTGGTGCTGCAACATCCTGTAAAGGATACGCAACTAACATAACATATAAAATATAATAACAACTTAAGGGTCTCCTGACACATAATCATAGTCTGTGCCATGTTTTCCAGACCTTGTACCGTGCACATGAATGAGATCATCCACACAATCATAGCCTGTGCCATGTTTTCCAGACCTTGTACCGTGCACATGAATGAGATCATCCACACAATCATAGTCTGTGCCATGTTTTCCAGACCTTGTACCGTGCACATGAATGAGATCATCCACACAATCATAGTCTGTGCCATGTTTTCCAGACCTTGTACTGTGCACATGAATGAGATCATCCACACAATCATAGTCTGTGCCATGTTTTCCAGACCTTGTACCATGCACATGAATGAGATCATCCACACAATTATAGTCTGTGCCATGTTTTCCAGACCTTGTACCGTGCACATGAATGAGATCATCCACACAATTATAGTCTGTGCCATGTTTTCCAGACCTTGTACCGTGCACATGGATGAGATCATCCACACAATCATAGTCTGTGCCATGTTTTCCAGACCTTGTACCGTGCACATGAATATGATCATCCACACAATCATAGCCTGTGCCATGTTTTCCAGACCTTGTACCGCGCACATGAATGAGATCATTCACACAATTATAGTCTGTGCCATGTTTTCCAGACCTTGTACCATATACATGAATAAGATCATTCACACAATCATAGTCTGTGCCATGTTTTCCAGACCTTGTACCATATACATGAATAAGATCATTCATACAATCATAGTCTGTGCCATGTTTTCCAGACCTTGTACCATATACATGAATAAGATCATTCACACAATCATAGTCTGTGCCATGTTTTCCAGACCTTGTACCATATACATGAATAAGATCATTCACACAATCATAGTCTGTGCCATGTTTTCCAGACCTTGTACCATATACATGAATAAGATCATTCACACAATCATAGTCTGTGCCATGTTTTCCAGACCTTGTACCATATACATGAATAAGATCATTCACACAATCATAGTCTGTGCCATGTTTTCCAGACCTTGTACCGTGCACATGAATGAGATCATCCACACAATAATAGTCTGTGCCATGTTTTCCAGACCTTGTACCATGCACATGAATGAGATCATCCACACAATTATAGTCTGTGCCATGTTTTCCAGACCTTGTACCGTGCACATGAATGAGATCATCCACACAATTATAGTCTGTGCCATGTTTTCCAGACCTTGTACCGTGCACATGAATGAGATCATCCACACAATTATAGTCTGTGCCATGTTTTCCAGACCTTGTACCGTGCACATGAATGAGATCATCCACATCAGTGTCGTGGTCAAGAACTTGATATCATTGGATGCTAATGAAGCTTTGATTGTGTACAGCCAAAATATTGAAACCCAGAGAGTCATGAGAAGAATTCAGTTTGGGCCAACATTATTCATGTTAGGGGAAAATGAATGGTGAGCTAAATGAGAAATTATTGCAGTGATTGTATGTTTGCATGTGTATTTTTATGTGTCTACGTTTACAGCGAGTTTCCTTAGCTCTGTCAGACCCAGCAGTTATTATTTTAATTGGTCTATCAGAAGGGTTTGATACTCAACTTTCTGCTGGCATAAGACTCATCTGCACACACTGGCATGAGACTCATCTGCACATGCTGGCATAAGACTCATATGCACACGCTGGCATGAAACTCATAAGCACACACTGGCATGAGACTCATAAGCACACACTGGCATGAGACTCATAAGCACACACTGGCATGAGACTCATCTGCACACACTGGGATGAGACTCATCTGCACACACTGGCATGAGACTCATCTGCACACACTGGCATGAGACTCATCTGCACACACTGGCATGAGACTCATCTGCACACTCATGTTGTCATTGTAACAGACTCACAAGGCATGCTGAGAAGGGTGGAGAAAGGCATGCTGTGTACAGAATGGCAAGCATCACTCCAGAGGCACTCAGTCGTTAGCTTCCTTTGTATCTTTTCTCTAGGGTATGCAGCTGTATTGGGAAATAAACAGCCAGACACAGGATGGTGGCTTGATGCATGACAACCAAAATGTGAAACCCAGTTTGAGTATGAACAATGTGGAAGCGCAAATAGATCAGTACGATGTAGAGAGAATTATGCATCAAGGAGTGACCAGGGGATCTGACTGATACTGGAAACTCTAAAGAAAGGGAAGACTGATGACAGACATACAGTCAGACTGCTTCTAGTACCATCAGAGTTTCTTTCTACTGAAGATAGAAATTCCCCTGAGGGTATTTATTTTCCTGTCCCACGTGCTTCGCCAGTCTATCAACAAGACATTGACCTGGCCCCTTTGAGATTCTAAGTGATTTTGTGTATTTGTGGGGTATTGTTTGATTTATGTATGTGCTGATGGAGGCTCCATAGCGGCAACGTTCACGTTTTCTTTGTGTTCATTATATTGTGAAGCTTGCTGATATAATTTTCTTTCGGTTTTATATCTTTTCTTGGAGATGGGAAAGAATGCTTCTGGCAATGTTTTGAGTTAGGATTTTGATTCTCAACTCAACCCAACTTAGAGTTGATACTTTAACTAATAAATGTTTAAGTTTGATGGAGGTAGTAGGATAGCATCATAAAACTGCATGAGTTAAAAGAAACAGCTGCAGCAAAGCAAAGTTTGTTGGTTTTACAACCAGCTGGTGACACACACAACAAGGATAAAAAAAATTATTTCACTGTCTCGCATCAGATGCATTATTACAGAGTTAAATCAGCATAAAATAAAGCACACACAAAAACTGAGTTCTTTCCACTTATCAACATTAAATGCTTTGCCAGCTGGCATAAGTATTCATAAATCTCCACATATCTCAGTCTTTGGTGTTCTGGATCAATTCCACTGATGATATTCCTCCATGCCACTGTCTTAAGCCACCCACAATCTTTTGGTCTGCCTCTTATACCAGTGATTTTTTCAATCATCGCAATAGTTTCCAGTGCTCCTTTTCTCATCACATGACCAAAGAAGTTTGTTTGTTGATACGTGCGGTCCTTCATTGTGACGTGCAGAGCTTCATGCTGATGTGTGTGGTACCAAGATGAAATAGGCCAAGTAGGGGTAAAACAGTAGTTACTTCAATGCTTTCAAAATGTAGAGCTCGAACGCTATGCGTTAAGTTCCAACGGTTGTATTGATATATACAATCAGCAATGATTAACACAAAGGATACATATGCAAGTAATAATCAACTCGTTCAACCAAAGCTCGCTCGTACATCCATGTAATGATATGTCCTCACGATAGGTCGCAGTCCGACCTTGAGATCCAGACGATTTTACTTTCTCCTCGGACAAGTCCGAATTAAGCAATGAAAGTATACCGGCTTACTGCCGAGAATGTAGTATTAACCAGCTTCCTGCTGAGGTCTATCTTGGAATCCCGGGGTAAAACGTCCTCAAGGATCCAACTTTATATAACGTTTGCTTCCGTGGGATCCCGGGGTAAAGCGTCCTCAAGGATTCCCACGTCCGTCTCCTTCGGACTATAAACATCAACTGCTTTGACAACAATATTATCATAACAACGTTACGTATTGTTTTGACGTCTTATTTGCTCACTCCGTACCGGTGCGTTCTGGTGCACATTCGCACGCGACATTTGTCTCCTTCTCACTTCTTCTTTTTCTTCTTCTTCTTCTGTCCTGAGTGCTGTGATGTCGATTCTGAATTCTACATTCAACATTCAGTTAAGCTGTAGCATCTGTGCCTTTAAACCAGCACATCAAATTTCAGCAAATTCTTAAGCCATCTTTGACTACATGCTTGTTAAAGGGGCATTGAATATCCCCCCCCCCCCCTCCCCCATCCCCAAGACAAAAGGCTTTAACTGACATTTTCTGTGTACTGTTCCCTAGGCTTCATAACTTCAGCTGGCACGGAACAGACCCAGACAACAAAACTCGGATGATACCAAACCAAAATAAATTTACTGTACTCAAGATCATTGCTGACCAGTTTTACTACAATGTAAGTCAGAAAAAAAGTAAAATAAAGATAACGCTTTGAGAAGACAAAAATCTAGTCACCTCAAGTTGTGACACATTCCCCTAGTGCTGATATATGACCATGTCTGCAGTGACCTATTTTCAAAAGTGCTAGTTGAATTTCATTGATCATTTTCATACCTAAATAAACTGTCACTACTGTCTGTTTTACCACTTTTTAGCTCGGTGTAGATGGGCTGAACCTGAAGATTTAGGGCCGCTTGGTTGGGGCTGTTGCAGTAGGCTGCACAGATTAGGATAATTAATTCTGCCTCAAACAGACAACTCCATCACCTTACTGGTAGTTGAACACGGGTCTCCTTCATGAGAGCCAGAAGTTATAACAATTTGGCCAGCCACTCCTCAGTAGTATGAATATAGTAACTAAAAATAGCATTTAGGGGGTTTCCCTTTGATCCAGGGACTTTTTTAAAAGCCCTATTGGTGTCAAATATTCCCAGAAGCCTCACTGATAAGAAGAGGTCATGAGGTCACAGCTAGAGGCACCTGGTGAATGTATTTCATTAAATACTTCATTCTCTCTTTGTTGATTATCCCTTTATATATCTTTATATGGTTTGAAACAAATTTACAAATGTAGATAAACAATTTTTTTGTTTTTAATTTATTAGTGACCCATGCTATGTGTGTTTTTTTTTTCTTAAAAGAATTTGTTCCCAGAAATGTCTGCAGGTTCTTGACTAATCTTTTTCACAGGGTAAAAGTGACACATATGGCATATGATACTAGACCAATTTTTATAGACCACATATCACTCGATTGGTAAGATGGTCAACATCTCACTCACCAGCTTTACTTCCCAGGACATTTCTCTGTATCTATTTTTGGGTGTAATACAGTGTAAGAGCAACTTCATTTCCTCATCTGTTTTATGACACAAACTTCATTGCCTTATCTGTTTTATGACACAACTTATTTCCTCATCTGTTTTATAACAATCTTCATTTTATGTCATGCCAAAAAGTGAGGGCGGCTGTGGTTCACCTTCTCACACCATCAGCAGAATCACAAATCAGGTTACTTAGCTGTTATTACTACTACTGTGAGGAAAATAAAACTCAGATCAAGACAGCCATTAGAACCAGTGTGAACACTTCCCATCTAGGAAACAATCCTGAGAACCCAATTAGCTTCCTCGTGTATAAAAAAACAGACCATTGCATTTAGATTGCATACTGGAAACAACAGATTCTACAAATTCTGTACAAGAAATTCAAGGTTGTGGATTCAGAACTTTGCCTATGTGAATAAGCACCACAGAAAACTGAACGTGTACTACAGACATGCTCTCTACATACAGTAAAGAGGTCCCAGGTTTGCAGGGAAAAGAAAGAAGAAGGTGACACCTAGTATTACTATTATTGGCACCTATCCTTCTTTCCACATTGAAAGAATGTCAGATGACAGAGAAGTAAAAACTGTAACACTAGGGAGGTAAATGGTCATAGACCATGAGGCAGACTAAGAAGATGATGGAGAGATAATATCCAGATAGATCAACAAACACCTGGTGTCACCAACTGGAAAGAGAAGGCCAACCAGAGAGATGAATGGAGGCCGGTGATATCTGCAGCAATGAACTTCACGGGCTCAGAATGCTAAAGAAGAAGAAAGATCTTTCTTTCCAGGTGATAGTGGTCTATTGTACTACAGACAGGCATGGGAATCAAAGCACAACACTAGCAAGTTTGACTGTCAAGACCAGCGCACATTAAGAAGAATCAGTCAGTTCACAAGCTTTTTTAACTGCCGCCTCTCGGTTTGATTCCAAAACAAATTAAGGCAGGGGATAAAGTTTATTCTCTTCATAGAATAAAACGTTGGCAGTATGGCATAGACCATGTGTTGCCCATGCAGCACAATCCCTCTTTCAGACACTATCACTATTGCATTACCCATCATTACACTACAAATATTACTACATCTTCTACATTTACTATTACAGCTACTACTACTGCTGCTATGACAACTGACTATTACTGCTACTACGACTATTGACTACTACTACTGCTACTACAACTACTGACTACTACTTATTACAACTGCTACTGACTACTACTAACTACTACTAATACTAACTACTGCTATAACTACTGCTACTGACTACTACTACTAACTACTACAACTGCTACTAATGCTACTGACCACTGCCAATACTACTACTAAATACTACTACTGCTACTACTGACCACTAAAACTACTACTAATACTACTACTACTACTAACTACTACTGCTAACTACTACTACTGCTACTGACCACTGCTAGTACTGACCACTGCTACTACTGACCACTGTTACTACTACTAGTACTAACTACTGCTACTGACAACTGCTACTACAACTACTACTACTTCTTACTACTTACTACTACTTACTACTACTAACTACTACTACTGCTACTACTGACCACTGCTACCACCACTACTACTACTAACTACTACTACTACTACTACTACTGACTACTACTACTAACTACACCTACAGCTACTACTACTACTAACCACTGCTAACTACTTCTACTGCTACCACTACTTCTACTGCTACCAGTACTGCTACTGACTACTACTGCTGCTGCTGTTGCTGCTACTGACTACTGCTAGCTACTACTATTCTACTACTGCTACAACTACTACTTCTAACTACTACTACTACTACTACTACTACTACTCAAACTGACTACTACTACTGCTACTACTACTGCTAACTACTACTAATAATACTACTTCTAAGTACTACTACTACTACTACTGCTGATTACTACTAACTACTACGGCTAACTACTACTACTATACTACTACTACTACTACTACTACTACTACTACTACTACTACTACTACTACTACTACTACTACTACTACTACTACTACTACTGCTACTACTAACTACTGCTACTACTAACTACTGCTACTACTAACTACTACTACTAATACAGTGGAACCTCGCTTAACGAGCATAATTCGTTCCAGAATCATACTCGTAAAGCGAAACACTTGTTATGTGAAACAATTTTTCTCATATAAATTAATGTAAATACGATAATGTATTCCATTTCGAAAAAATACTCACAAAATGTTATGTATAACGTTTATTTAAAGAAAATTATATACATATAGTTAAGGGGAGTGAATCATCTTTATCTTTTCTTCCACCGTGGAAGAAACCCACCTGGAATGCTAATTTGATTTGCAGAAAAATCTCAAAAATTATAATACATACCTAATTATTTTTTACTAGAAAGATACCAGAGACATTTGTTTTTGCCGATGCTTAAAAATTGGGCAATAATGCGACACAGCATTATCATTACATAAATTTCCAGCGCGCATAGCAACTTCCTTATTAAGGCGATGCTTCTCAATGTTAGATGCAACAGTTTTTCCATGCTTTCAGCATTTCTCTTATTTCGCAAGAAAATTGTTGCTTTTCTGTTACCTCCTCCTATGATCAGCCACGCTTACACCTTGTTCTGGGTTTTCAATGATTTGATGTTTCATTTCTATGGTTATTTTTACCCTCTTATGGCTGTTTTCTTGCGGCTTTTTCTTCGGGGACATTTTTGCAAGGGTTTATTAAACTTTTCACATAAAAAAATTACAAATCTATTTCCTAATAATCTTCCCAATAATTAATTCAATTAATTTTTATTCATTTACATATAACACAATATAACACAAGTTTTAGAAAATGTGTGAGCACATGCCACACTACGAGTGCTAAACACAGACTGATGTAGCATGCGCACAATCAGCGACTTTTCCTTTTCTCGCCACTTGTTATGCGAAACGTCGCTTGTTAAGCAAGTAATTCTTTTACAATTTGTTTTGCTCGTTATGCGAATTACTCGTTATGGGAGGTGCTCGTTAAGAGAGGTTCGACTGTACTACTACTTACTACTACTGCTACTGACTACTACTACTACTAGTGCTACTATTACTGGAACTGCCTACTACAACTAACTACTGCTACTACTGAGTGCTACTACTAACTACTACTACTGCTACTACTATTGCTACTAGTACTGCTACTGGCTACTAATACTGCTGCTGCTACTACTACTGCTAGCTACTAATACCGCTAATGACTACTATTTCTACTGACTACCAACTACTACTACTGCTACTAACTGCTACTAAATAGTACTACTACTGCTACTACTACTATTGCTAATGACTACTACTACTGACTACTACTACTAACTACTACTACTAACTACTACTACTGACTACAACTACTGACTACTACTACTGACTACAACTGCTGACTACTACTACTACTAACTACTTCTTTTTCTTCTTCTTTTGTTCACTTGAAATAGATTATCTATATATGCAATGTTTTCTCTAGTATGAATTTCACTGTCTTTTGTAATTCACTCAGTGACCCGTAAAGTTTGACTTGCACCAATGTTTTTCTTGGCCAAAAGTTTTGCTAAGATATGTTGTATATGGGACAGTCTTGGAGGACATGATTTGCTGTCTCAGGTGCCAGTCCACATGGCTGATTTGCTGATTTTAAATTTTGTGTACACATTGTGTCTTGTTCTAAGGCGTAGAATAATAACTTGCTCTGGTCCATCCATAAAATAGTAATCGACTTGTGCCGGTTTTGATAGCTTTCTGATTGATTTGATTATTCTCTTCTTTTGTTGATAAGAGACTGGTAATTCAGGTTGTTCTTCATTTGCACCTTCCTTAGCTAGTTTATCAGCTCTTTGACTAACTACTATTACTGCTACTACTACTTCTAACATCTACTACCGCTACTACTAACTACTATTATTACTACTACTACTATGACTGCAGCTATATTCTATATACTGCTTCAACACCTTCAATTTTCTACTACTGCTGCTGCTTTGACCACTACTGAACCTCCTAATACCACTATTACTACTGCTTTTACTGTTACTACCATTGCTATCCTATTATTACTAAGCTGCTACTACTCTTGCTGCTTTCACTGCTATTTATTGCTTTCGTGTTACTGCTACTGCTGCTTCTACTACTATGACAACATTACCATTCTGTGACATGAAAGATTTGACAGTATTTAAGTTGTATATAAACAAAAATAGACACTATCTATGTGCTATTATAATACACTTGACACTATCTGTGTGCTATTATAAAACATTTGAAACTATTTTTGTGCTTTTCTATTACAGGTGGATGAGGTCAGGACTGCAGATGATGCCATTTTACGGGTGAAACTGATGATGTTTTTTGAACTCACAGACATTGAAAAAATGGTAATTGACCTGCTGAGTGTCTCCCTTCCCTCTCTGTCTGTCTGTCTGACTTCTATGACTCTGCCTGCTTACCTCTATTTCTGTTTATCTCTCTCTGTCTATCTCTCTCTGTCACTCTCTCTCTCAGTTCCCCTCTTTCACTATGAGCTCACACACTATCTGTCTTTGTCCCCCACTGCTTCACATCTTCAATGATCCAAAAACTATCTTCGTCTTTCTTCTTTGCTTTCACCACCTGTAAACTCCAGCATAAAGTTCCGGCTATTTGTCTATTTCTGAACTTTGGCATTGTCTCAGAACTTGAGTTTTGCATGCACATCTGTTTGACAGCTCTGGCTTATTTGTATACATAATGTTGGTTCCTTACTTCTCAGGCAGACCTACACTGACTTCAAAGTTATTAGTGTGCTTGCCTGCTGAGACAGTGGTGCAGGTTCAAACCCCAGAAATAACGACACATATCCCACAGTATGGCTCTGAGGTCAACCAATAGTATCAGAAGGGTCCTTTTAAATCTTTTAATGTTTTTCTTGCATAGCTTTAAATGATTTCTTTTTAGTATTCAGCAGCTATAAACTCTGTGGAAAGCTCTGGTTGTTTGTCCACTTCTGGGCTTTGGTCTTATTCCAGATCTTAAGTTTTGCATGCAGATCTGTTTTACATATCTGGCTAATCAGTATGCAGATTGTTGGTTCCTCACCTGCAAGCAGATGCATCCAACTTTAAAGGAAACACCCCTAATTAGTCGGCTTTTATGGCATGCTTGTTGGGGGGGGGGGGGGGGCTATGTTTTCTCACCCCCCTCCTTCCAAAATAGGCCCCTGATCACACACCTGAAGCTTTAAATTAAAATTGGCAAGGCACATCATGCTGGTTAGCCATATTCTCTTCATGTCATTGTTGTAACATGAGGCCTTCACATGTGATATCCATAGCTGCTGATCTACTATTTTCTGATCATGGAATCGCATGCCAGTTTGCACTTCTTCATTTCCATTTCTTCTGCTCTTGAGGTTTTCATCCATGTCTCCTTTTTTTATTTTTTTTTTATTTGCTATACATCGATGTTGGGAAATGAGCAGGCAGATAGACCGGCTGGCTCTACACCACTTGGTGGTGAATTGATGTATGACAAGTTAAATATTGTGAGGGCCCTTTGGCAGCGAGTGAACAGTGCAGAGGCACAGATAGATTATTATGGTCTAAGGAGAATGGTGCTGCAATAGATACCAGGGAATCTGGCCAACACTCAACACTCAAGGAAAGGATGAGACGGATATACAATCAGTCGGTTACTGGTACCATCGGAATAGGAACTCTTAACCTGCTGCCGAAGATGGGGACTGAGCATTTATGTGAGTGTCCAGAGTGCTGTGATGTTGATTCTTAATTCAGCATTCAACATACATCCATGAGGTGTCCTTGCCAAATGTCCCATTGCGTACTGCAAACATGTCCAAGCCTCCCCCATTCGTGTGCAGGAACTCAAGGGAAAGGCCAGATAGATATACAGATAGTTACTGGTGCCATCGAAATTATAACTCTTTGCCTGCAGCTGTAGATAGGGATGGAGCGCTTTTGGGAGTGTCCAGAGTGCTGTGCTGTTGACTCTAAATTCAACATTCAGCATTCAACATTTGAAGTTTATCAGTGATTAACAGGTTGTTATCCTCCTTAGTTGTTTATTTGTGATCTTTTTAAGTCAAAATATTTTGCAGAATTTTCCTTAGATATTAATTCTGAAAGATGATCATAATGATGCTGCTATAAAGATTTTAAAAAATTACAGATGTGTATTGCAATGAAAATAAGTTTAAAATATAAATATAAATAAGATTTAAATAGTTAACTGTATAAGACTGATTATTTTCTTTCTTTGTAGCTGAATTCAACAAATGATCCTATGGCTGATTTTATAAAGTAGGGAGATTTATGATTTTATTTTATAATCATATTATGATTAATTAAGCATGGTAGCCAGGCCAAGAGAGAGACTAGCACGTTTGTCTTTTGATAGTTTTATGTTTGAATCCTCAATAATATAGGCATTTTGTTTTTATATTAATCAAGACTCTTCAGTCAAACCAGACTAAAATAATTTTTTAGGAAATACCCTGGAAAGTAAAGGTAGTTTCACGATACTGATTAATTTACTTGAGTGCCAGTTGGTTTATGAAACTGAGGCTAACAACATATACTCCATACTCCTAAAGGCATGAAAAGGTATTTTTTAGAGAATGTTTTTCTTAAAGTGTTGGCGTCTGTGGCTTAGGTGTTGCGAACATGCTTTGTAATGCCGGAATGCCAGGTTTGATCTCAGCTGCGGGCCTTACACCTTGCGTTGGTTTCAACAGTGATATTGAGCAGCCGATCATCCAGAAAGAAATGGCAAACTGCTGGATGTAAAATTGCCTAGAAAAACCATAACAGCCAAAAAATGCTGGGGTTGGTTTGGATGTAAAGGATACGCAACAAAGTGTTTTTTTTAAAAGTGGATTGGGGGCTAATAACTGAGAGGTTACAACACAAAAGGCAGTTATGAGTTGTTCCTGATTCTGATTCCTTGTTAATTGTAATTTGTATTCTTAAAAATATATATATATAATTTTAAAAAATTATAAAATTGGAACATTTTTGCAAGTTATTAAGCCTATTTCCGCAGCTCTAATGAAAGCCTTCCAAGAACAGGCGAGCATTAGTGCTATGTTCTGTAATAGTAGTTCAATAGTTGGGATTCCTTGAGGCCAGTGGAAATGACAGGACAAATAAATTCACAAGCACTGATCAATATTCACAGAATTAGTGGAAAGAAAAAAGGTCTCCAGTGACTGTGTACAAGTACACTTGTTATTACAGCAAAGTGATGTAATTTTTTTTGGAAGCATCATGTTTAAATAATTGTGGTAATTCACTCTCTCTATATCCTCTTCATGTCGCTGTTGACACGTAAGGCATTCACAAGTGATCTCCATTGTTGCCGGTCTGCTGCTTTTCTGCCCATGGTATTCCATGTCAGTTTACATTCCTTCATTTCTCGTTCTGTTGTTCCTCTCCAGGTTTCCTTCACTGTCAGGCTGTTGATTTCCTTTCGACTTTGATCCCCAGCCGTCATTTCACCAAATATCAGGCAAGCTTCACTTCTTTCCACCAGTTCAATGATTTCACCTGTTCCTGTTTCCGTAACAAAGTATTTTTTTTAAAGTAATGAGTTGTCAACCCTTTGCCCAACCTCCAACCTGAAGGACCAGGTCTGACTCTTCTTTTCAAGATCTGTTCGGCATGGTTAAACCTGCCAAGGGAACAGGTCCCCTGCCAGCATAGCTCTGAGAGTCATTAGAGTACTCAAGCCATCCCACCATGACAAGGCACCAGCACCATGGGATGGGGTCACTCACTATAGTTTTCAATTTTGTATTGCCTCGTGTCATCTTTAATATCTTTTTTCCCTGTGATTTTTTTTAAGCACCCATTAATTTGTTTTAATCAGCTAGTTTAGTAGTTTTTATTTTTTATTTTTTAAAGACTGGTATTTGTTTATTTTAAATAATCCCTGTTTTATTGTGTTCAGTCTTTTGTGTAAGCTCTCCTTCTTTGTGAAAGCAGAAGAAATATGCTAATAACAGTTTGACAATTTTAATGTTTTTATTAATTATTGAACTTAGAATCTACCATAATGTGCTTTGCATCCAGATATCGAATTATAAATGATCATTCACCACTCAGTCAAATGTTTTGAATATAACAGACAAACATGTCTGTGCAGTAATTCAGATTAATTAATCAGTATGCATTGTTTAGTTATTTTCAGCAAAAATGCTGAAAATTGTACTGCTCTCTGTGCAATTGTTCATACACTTAAGATGATTTATTATTTCTTCTTCAGTTGCCTGTGTGCAGATGTTATTGCTTTTGCTGCTAAAAGAACGTAAGTAAGAGTTTGAATATCTCTTGTTGTTTTATTATGTTTTTAAATTGAATTCTGACTAAGACTAAAACATTTCTAGAGAAACTTGTCAGGTCAGCAAAAAAGTGCCTGACACAGTTGCATCTAAAACCAGACTCAAAAATATGAGCGGGGGGAGAAAAGACATTCTATAGTCAGCTGTATATAAAGTTAATGTTATCATTGTGTGCTTATTTTATGCTTTACATTTTTTTTAGTGCTTCTATTAGTTGAGATGAATTGGTCATCTTTAATATAATACTGAAAATCCATGTGGCTGCCTGTTTGATGCCTGTCACAGGGCCAAATCATGATTAGTAGAGAGGTGAAATTTGCATAGTTCATTCTGACTGCATTGTCTAGGCTTATTATGCAATTTGTAACACATCACCTGGGAAGGAATTATCATGAATCAGTTGGACAGCATGGTGTAAGAGGACTATTTTTCCAAAAATATTCTGTTCAACCCTCATGGTTATAATTAGGATATTTAGTGTTAATTGATTTCTCAGAGTATATATATTTGTTACTTTAAATTTATGTATCTTGCAATTTTTTATACAACCAAAATGTAATTTGCATTGTTTCACATTTTTCACATTTAGCTTAGTGTGAGTTGGTAAAGGCCTATTCTTCATTGGGGTTAATAATTGGCAGAAGAAGAAGAAGAAGAAGAAGCAGAAGAAGAAGAAGAAGAAGAAGAAGAAGAAGAAGAAGAAGAAGAAGAAGAAGAAGAAAAAGAAGAAGAAGAAAGTGTACACAATTAAGTATGTATTCTTTTTATGTTGCTTTTTTTAAATTTGTAATATTCAGATATGAAGATTTCACGGAGACAGCTAGTGATCTGAACCACCTGGAAAATTTCTCACAGTTAGTGGAGCGCAGCCAAGCCATTGGTTACTCTGTCTCAAAAGTAATTTTCAGGGGCTATTTTGCTCATGATAAACTTCAAAAGATGCACGATATGATGATTATTCAAAGAACAGAACTGAGGCTGAAGGTAGAGTGTTTGTCTATATAAAACAACCAGTAGTAGTAGTCATTTAAACCACAATATCCTCTTCAACCTGCTTGGGTTATAACTGGGACATATATGCCTATCAATTATGTTTGGTTATTTAATATTGAAGAGTTTATATATATCAGTTGTACAAGATTGTAGGAGTATAGATTGCCAGATTCAGTATATTTTAAGTGTACTTTCAACCAATTATAGTAATTCTTCACGTTCACCAGCTGTAATCTCTGGTAGAAAGTTCTGGTGGTTCATCCACCTCTGGACTTTAGACTTGTTCCATAATCTTCCAGATGCACTCCAACTTTGAAAGAAGCCCCTAGTTAGTCTACACTTACAACATGTTTGTTGGGAAGGCAGTGGGTCTACTCTTGTTTCCCTCACAATGGGGCCCCAGAACCCACACAGGGAGGTAATTTTATTAGTAAGTAAAAAGTAAAGATCCCTTTACACGCCCTTAGACGCATCGGGCATATGGGAAGAGCACCCATATTTTTACAGACCAATGTGGTCAGCATTACGCCGGCCGTCTTTACTTTTCCAGGACAGCCCATCCTGGTACCCATTTGAGGCTGGGTCGACCTGCGACGTCCCATACCACGATAAAAATCCACGCAGCCCGCAGTGGGTTTCGATCGCGGTACATTGGATTACGAGTCAGACTCGCAACGCCTTAGCCACGGACACCAATTATATTGTGTAGTCTAGTTATGTAAAGGCTTTCTTGAAATAGTGCCTCTTGCACTTAGCAGTTTTTCAACACTTTTAACAGTTTCATGATCCTCGAGTAATAGTGTTCATTTCCACAGCTGACAGGTTTTAAGAAACATACTGCTCTCAGGGAAGTCAGATTAGTACGAGAGTTGCACCATGGAAAAGATTGGGGTCTCACTATGTTGTGATCCTAAAGACGGCAGTGGGTAAACTGTAGGCAACTTTAGTTGTAGAGATGGCACATATTTTTATTCCTTCAAAAAAATATAATCTGTTTGTGACTCTAGAAGTAAAACAAAAGGGACCCTTTCCTATGTCAGAAATGTTGTTATTAATAGTATTTTTTAATATAAAAGTAAAGGACCCTTTTCCATGCCTTCTGATGTATCGGGCATATATGGCTAGACCGATATTTTATAGACCAATCCGCACTTGGTGAGTGATGTGGTCAACATTACGTTGGCCACCTTTACTTCCTAGGACAGCACCTGGTACCCACTCAAGGCTGTCGACCTGGGAGCCAATGTCATTTTTGGAGAAAGCCCGTTTCCATCAGGACCCGAACCTATTACCTTTCAATCTGCAGGCGAACATCTAGCCACTACACCATGGCAATTCCCTATTATCTTTATGCTCATTATAAACAAATATATTCAAATGCATCTACTTCTGCTTTTCACCATTTTTCACATTCACCGAGATTGTCACATTATAAAATTCCCTCTTCATAACTTGAGCTACAAAAGGTGTATGGGCTAAACAAATATTTTTATTGATCAATTGAAACTTACTGGGTGTTATGGTCAACATCATGCTGGCTGCTTTTACTTCCCAAGGCTTTTTCTGATACCCAATTTAGGCTATGACATACCATTGATCTCAGATCAGTCTTAAATAAAAAATAATCTTATGGATTCAAATTCATGATTACTGGGTCACATTCTAGAATGCTAGCTAGTGAATTACCACATCTCTTATTATTATTTCAAGGGAACACATAATGAACTCGGGCCCATCTACACACTCATGAATGATAAAGTCGAGCCAATACACAATAACTGGAAGTTCATTCATGCGTCTCAATCTTTGAGACACGCAGGTTTGAGTGGCAGCTTTGGTGCGACATTGTATTCTGTCGATGATCTTATCGGTTAACAGCGTGCTGTATATTACAGGATGTGAGCACAGTTAACGACCCCATAACATGTACAACTGGCCCTAACCCCCACTCCACACACTAAACCAAGGTCCCACTAGAGAGTGCATTCTAGGTCCCGTGGTTTCAGACTGATTAACATTTTCTGGTGGCCTGCAAAATTCTGTGTTGCTGCCGACACACAATTCTATCTGCCAAGGCTGACAGCTGGAATAAACTCATTTCTTCATTACTTGTAATATTTTAAGTCTGGTAGTCTGGTAGTCTTAATTTCAGCTTCATAGCAACGGGTCGCCCCATCTTTGCTCCGCTCCTATGCCAACAAAAAAACACCCAGAATGTTTATCACAGTCCCTTGTGGAAAGACTGACAGACTGCTGTCTCAGCATATCTAGCATACACTCGCATTAAAGCATACGGTAGCCATCCGAAGTGCTAACACAAACAGTCCAACATTAGAAATGCAGTTCATCATTGATGATAGCATAACTTGTCGCCAACAGTTCAGCAGTTGTCCACACGATCAATTTTAACCAGATACGGGCACCGCCAACATTGCACGCCATTTTCTGAATCTACAATTCACACCACCACGTTGGTCACAGTCGAAAATACATTCCAAATGCAATCCGCAGCTCACAGGGTCACGCCATGCATTCAATTCAGAAGCTGGGCGACGAAACTATATCCAGTCTACAAATGGAGCAAAAATACTTCGGCCACCGTCCGGCAGAAGCAAAACATTTGCCTCTGCTTCGAACAGCGCCGCTGTCTAGAGTCCATTTTAACCGGAAGTCTTCCCAATATTTTAAGTAATTCTGCCAGTTAATGCAATGATTTACTCTCTTATAGTTGTAACTCAAACTTCTGCCCTGATTAGTGTTAAAAATAATTTAATTACAACTTTGAGACAACAAATAATTATTTATTGTCAGTAAAGTAACATTTTCCACATTTTCCTGCTTGATTGTGCCAATGGACTCTAGTATGAAAGGGAAGTTCAAGAACAAGAACTGATACACAAGAAACTTCAGGCAGATACAGAGAGACTTGAGCAAGGTGAGACAAACATTATTTCTTGACCATGTTTTTTTCATTATTCGCCTTGACACTTTTATAACCCATTATACACATGCACTACCCTCCAAGACTGCAACCTAAAATGTGACACTCAGTGACTCAAAGAAAGACTTGCTGACAGCCAGTCCACCAGGAAAAAATTTCAGATAGCCCATTCTACCTTATAAAATATTTGTACAGGCATAATGTAATTACACTAAGTAACTTGTTGCCCTGTATGAGTGGGGGGCTAAAGTTTTTATTTGCTTAAAGTCTTGCTCGTTTTATAACCCTTATATTCTTGCCATTATTCTTGTTTTATAACCTAGTATATTTGTTCACTTTCTTGTTTATTAATTCAATGTACAGTGGAATCTCAGGATATAAGTGTACCTAGATACAAGATTTTCTGGATATGAAGTCGGTCTCACCAATTATTATTTTTCTTTTGCCTTAAAATACAAGGTGGAATCCAAGATGGGAGCTGGAAAGATGAGAATACTCGGCATTACTCAACAGTGTCTCATTGGATTAAGGCATGTTAATATTGATAAAGGAGGACTAAAGCCAGTCAACAAGGCACTTAATAATGATGATGGACTGCAGCATCTTGATTTGAAGTAACCCCATTTATTTTCCACTGCCGACAATTATTTTCCACTGCCGACAATTATTTTCCACTGCCGACAATTATTTTCCACTGCCGACAATTATTTTCCACTGCTGACAATTATTTTCCACTGCCGACAATTATTTTCCACTGCTGACAATTATTTTCCACTGCCGACAATTAATTTCCACTGCCGACAATTATTGTCCACTGCCGACAATAATTGTCCACTGCCGACAATTATTTTCCACTGCTGACAATTATTTTCCACTGCCGACAATTAATTTCCACTGCCGACAATTATTGTCCACTGCCGACAATAATTGTCCACTGCCGACAATTATTGTCCACTGCCGACAATTATTTTCCACTGCCGACAATTATTTTCCACTGCCCACAAAAACAACAAATAAGTGTCACATATTTTCCATGTTGACCAAACATAAAAATGTCTTCTTTTTTTTTTTAAACTAATAGGGTGCTTTTTTTTAAGGTCTGGAACTAATTAAAATTACTTACATTGAATGTAATGGGAAAAAGGTTTCAGGGTAGGAATTCTTCACCATGTGAGCCCATCAAGGTTGTCTCCTCTAGGAATTCCAGAGAAATTTGACTAAAAAAGCTCAACAAAATGGGGAAGCAGAAAAACGTGAACAAAACAACACAACGTAACATTTCGGCCAGGCAGCCTTTTTCAAACACAAGTGAACTACACAAACCATAAGTGAACTAAACAAAGTGAACTACACAAAACATAAGTGAACTACACAAACAAAAGGTTTGTGTAGTTCACTTATGTTTGAAAAAGGCTGCATGGCCGAAACGTTACGTTGTGTTGTTTTGTTCACGTTTTCCCCATTTTTTTGAGCTTTTTAGTCAAATTTCTCTGGAATTCCTTGTGTAAGCTTGACTGCAGTCACCCCCATATTTTCACCATTTTTGTATTGTCTCCTCTAGATCCATTGTGTTTGTGCCTCTTTAGTCTTGACTGTAGAATGGTTTTCCAGAGCAAATGATTAGCCACCTTGGAGACTGCCAAAGGGAAACAGCATATGTGTCCCACTGCCTAAGAGACCTGGAATCTACAGCCCTTGGTGGCTCTGATCTTTTGCCATTTTCTATTTCAAGAGCAGGTATTATGACGTCAGTACCATATATTCTACTTGTAGCGTGCAAAAGGCTCAATGCATTTGTTGCTAAGGACATGATGTGCGCTCCACTAAATAAAAGGAAACACACACAAACGTATTAATGCCCAGTATCTACTGAACACTAACTTTTCTGAGGCATCCATTGGTCGAACACCTTGCGGTCAAATTTGTGAACTGGTAATTGATATGAATTCAGAGACAAAATTGAAAAAAAATATATTAAATCATGGACCTGGAGCAGAACGAAAAACATAAATCCGCCATACGATTCATGACAGTGTCCACCCAGGTGATGTGATTATCTATACCAGCGGTTCTCAGCCTGCCAGTCGCGACCCTTTTTTGGAGTCAAACAACCCTTTTCACTGGGGTAGCCTAAGACCATAGGAAAACACATATTCATTGAAGTTATTAAGGAAAATAATTGTTTGGGGGTTACCGCAACATGAGGGACTGTATTAAAGGGTCCCGGCATTAGAAAGGCTGTGTGCCACTGATCTATACAGATAGCTCTGTGTTAAGAGGCAGAAGAAGTGCATGGGGTTTAAAGCATAAGCAAATGGACGTCACTTAGCGCAGCAAAGCCTATCATATTGATATCACAACATCTAGTTTGAGAAAGGAAGTAGAGGCAGTCACTGCAGCTTTCTTTTGTAATCAGCTGCACACATATGTTGTGATTGTAACTGACTGCATGCTGGGAAAGGTTGAGACAGGTATGCTTCATGAAGAGTAGCATACATCGTTTCAGAAATTCAGGGTAGTTAGCATCCTTTGGATATTTTCTCCAGGTCATGTAGGTGTGTTAGGAAATGAACAGGTGGAGAGACTTGCTGGCTCTGCATCACTTGGTGGTAAATTTGTGCATGACAAGCTAGATTCTGTCAAGGCTCTTTGGGAGCAAGTGAACAGTGGGGAGGCACATTTAGATTATCACAGTCTGAACAGAATGGTGCAGTGGGTAGGGACTAGAGGATCCTAACAATATGCACACTAAGAGGAAAGGCAACACGGACTTCCAGTCAGACTTTTAGAGTCAGAGTTGGAACTCTTTGCTGGCTGCTGAAGATAGGGACAGAGTGCTTGTCTGTCTAAATGTCCGAAGTGCTGTGATGTTGTTTATGTTTTTTCTTGGCAATTCTTTTATCTGATAAGATGTTTTTCATTAAAAGTTTTGTCTGATAAGATGTTTATTTTTTGGTGTCATTAATTTTTTGTCTGGAAAGATGTTTTTCATTGCAATTTTTATCTGATAAGATGTTTTTCCTACTTTTTTTGTCTGATAAGATGTTGTTTTCTTTGCAGTTGAGGGCTTGGAATGCTGAAAAAATAAGAAAAGAGAGGAAGCTTGTTTTATTGTATCAACTCAACTCCCTTAGCCTCAACCTGTAATTACTTTAACTCATCATTTTCCACTGTGTTTTACTGTTAAGCAAACAGGGTTAAAACAGTAATGCTGAGGAAGTAAATTATCAGTTCTGTTGGAATAATTAAATAATAACTGTCTATAACAGAAGAAGACCTTCCGGTTAAAATGGACGCTAGACAGAGGCGCTGTTTGGAGCGGAGGCAAATTTTTTGCTTCTGCCGGACGGTGGCCGAAGTATTTTTGCTCCATTTGTAGACTGGATATAGTTTCGTCGCCCAGCTTCTGAGTTGAATGCATGGCGTGACCCTGTGAGCTGCGGATTGCATTTGGAATGTTTTTTCGACTGTGACCAACGTGGTGTGAATTGTAGATTCAGAAAATGGCGCGATGCCGGTCGTGCAATGCTGGCGGGACCCGTATTAAAATTGATCGCCCGGGCAACTGCTGATCTGTTGGCGACAAGTTCTGCTATCATCAATGATGAACTACATTTCTAATGTTGGACTGTTTGTGTTAGCACTTCGGATGGCTACCATATGCGTTAATGCGAGTGTATGCTAGATATGCTGAGACAGCAGTCTGTCAATCTTTCCACAAGGGACTGTGATAAACATTCTGGGTGTTTTTCGCTGGCACAGGAGCAGAGCAAAGATGGGGCGACCCGTTTGCTATGAAGCTGAAACTCAGACTACCAGACTACCAGACCAGAAGAAGACCTAAGAGTAACATCTTCGAACTAACCATTGATCACATGATGAGTTCATTGGTACCGAGTAAGTTTAAGTGAATTCTCAATGTGTTCTTTTATTTTCAGAACAGCAACTGGAGCTGGAAAGATTATTGCATGAGCAAAGATTAGAAAAGTAAGTTATTCTTTTCTCATCCATCATTTAATATGGTAAATATACTGAGTTTTTTCAGGTTAGTATCCAGACACAGTGGAAGCAGAACTAGACATCGATCACTCAAGCAATGGATAGACAGAATATCTTACCAGCATCTGTATATTACACACCAAGGGTTGTGCCAAATGCCTCTTTAAATCCTGGTACTGAAAGGTAGAACAGAGTCTAGAGTAAAGAAGGGGGTTTGATTATCTTCAGTTTTGGTGATGTATGTATATTTGTCGTTCGTAGCTTAGGTGTTGCTAGTCCCACTCAGAATTCCAACGTACCACGATTTAAACCCACTGCTGGCTGCGTGGATATTATCATGGTATGGGGTGTCGCAGGTCGACCCAGCCTTAAATTGGTACCAGGATGTATGTCCTGGGAAAGTAAAGACAGCCGACGTAATGCTGACCACATTACCCAGCCTAGTGCCGACTGGTCTGTAAAGATAGGGGTGCTCTTCCCATATGCCCAATACACATAAAGGCATGAAAAAAGATCTTTACGTACATTAATTGTGTATATTTGGATGCTCATGTGTTACCAAAGCTAAAGAAGGAAGCCACAAATGAAACTGTAACCTACTATGCAAGTTGTGTGAGGCGACAGAGGAGAGTTGTCATAAAACTGGCTACCTAGTGCTGTTGATGACTTTAGCTACAATTTCTAATCAATATTGAACTAGTTTACAAAGTTTTTGGCCTGGATTGGTTGATGACCTGTGCTCAATTCATCATCATTATCCTCAGTCTCGATTTTTCCATTTAGCATCGTGGTGTCCTGAAAAAGACAGTGATGGAAGGTGCAGTTTGTGGAAGGCATGGCAGGGGTGGAACACTGCGAAGATGGAAACAAGACATTGAAGATGTATTGGCATTGAAAGCACATGGGGCCAGAGAGCTGGCTAGGGAAAGGGATACTTACAGGCGTGCCATGAAGAGAGCGACGTACTGTAAAGGACTTGCTGATTGATGATGATCATCGGGAGAAAACAGTATGTGATCCTTTGCCTGATAGGTAGCAGTGGCTTTTGTCATTCTGTGTCACTGTAGAAGGTTTTTAATATCCATCTTCTCCTAGTGTGACCTCTTGCTTTCACATTGGATCTTTTTATTTGTGGTGTCTGTGTTCTTTTTTCTTTTTTTTCTTTTTTGTTGTGGTTGCATTCTTATAAGATGACCAGACCATTTTATCTTCCAATTCTCAATGAATTGAGTGCATGGTTTTGTTCCCAGTCTGTCTGATAGCATCATTTCTCAATGAATTGAGTGCATGGTTTTGTTCCCAGTCTTGTCTGATAGTATCATTTCTCAATAAGAAAATAAAACAGAATTAAACTGTTAATTTTAATACAAAATCAAAGAACAAAAAAAGTCTGGCATTTAGAAAACAGTGGTATTCCACACACAACTTCTTGTAAACCAAAGCTTTGTATATAAAAAAAAAAAAAAAAAGTAAAAACTAAGAGAATAATTAGGTTAATTTGACCATGTTGAAAATATAACATATTTCTCTGTGCAGAATATAATAATTCTTGTGTTGTCATTAATTGTTAGAGATGAGCTTCAACATACTCTAAACCTGGAGAAGGGAAAACATGAGAAAATGATTGACAAGCAAAAGATGGAAAATAAAGCAAAGCTAAATGTGAGTATGAATAACTTATTTTGTATTGTATTATTCTTTTCATTATAACATTACATAACACTGGTACATTCTCGATTGGTCTGTCTTCTTCTTCTTCTTCTTCTTCCACTATTTACCTCAGCGAAGTGTTAGGGGAGAAGTAAGGATCGTTTGTGCGCTTTTTCCAATGCATTGTACAAGTTAGTGTTCATTTCTGCTAGGTTGCTCCTAATGATGTCGCTCCATCACTTGCGTGGTTTTCCCCTTCTCTGTGTTCATTATATTTTGTCAGCATGGCTCTCTGTAGCAGTTGGTACGAGAGCATTCTCATCAGTTGACTAAACCATCTGGCTGGGTCCACCTGGGAGCTAAGGTAATTTTTTAAAAAAGTCTGGCCTCCATCAGGACCCAAACTCATGAGCGTCCGATCCACAGTCCAGCATCTAGCCATTAGACCACAGCGGCTCCCGTTACATTTTTTATCCATTCTTCATTATGTAAGCTTCTGTCTCTGAACATTCAAATGTTTGGAGCTACATATTAAACCACACAACTGAATATCTAAATTGACTGTACAGAACAATTTCTAAATTGTAATAAATTAAATAGAGTAAATGCAACACATGCAAGATGTAAAACTTAACAAAAGAAATTTTCTTCAACCTGCAGGAAAATCTGGCCAAAGACAGACTGGATTTCCAGTATCTAAGCAGTCTTCATGGACTCAGTGTGAATGTCACGGACTTGCTGGTGACACGAGCTGGGAAGCCAGCAAGGGTGACACACATCAAAGCTTCCAAAGATGCTGCCCATATCCATATCCACCACAATGATTTGTCTGCCTACCAGACAGGCTCACCTTGAGTTTAACTACAAAGATTCTGTGGAGTCTAACACCACATTCATTGCCATAAAGGAAGATTATAGGAAAGTACAGAAGTTGTAAACATAAGTTGGGTAATGCATAGCCAACCTATAATTAGAACCAAACCAAAATGAACAGATCTGCTGTGCGGGCACTCATTTTGACATGTAAGTTCAGCTCTCTAGCAATAGCATAATCTGACTTTATTTCATGCAAGACAGAGCCAGTGTGATAGAAAATGACTCTCCTCCGAACTTCTACCCCAGCATTATGGCGGCCAAACAAATACCCTAACAGAGCGTCAGTCCTAATAAAAATGCGGACTTGTCGGACTTCCTGCCGAGGAACAAATGGTGGCAAAACTAGGATCGGCTCCGAATAACAAAACAAATGCTGTAACAAGGTTAGTTTATTGCGGACCTGTTTCTTTGGCTATGCCCCACCGCTGAAAGTATCCCGTGCCGCTACACATGGCACGGGTGGGGGGCTAAACTAGATGGCTGGGACTCACGAGCAGCAGCTACCGGATCTCCTGCAACTTCCTCTAATTTATTTGCTCGTGAGTTTATAGTGGTGAGTTTAATCGGAAGAGCATTATCGCTAATGTACGTCAGAGCACGTGGTCTCACTGCCACCTCCATATTATTGTCTGTAATGCTGCGTGTCTTGAAATTGTCATGGTTGCTAGTATCATCTGCAGAAACGCTCGAAATTGTCCAGGGTCGCTATTATCGTCTGCTACTATTGTCTGCAGTGTTGTGACATTGTCAAGTAATCCTAGTTTTGCCGGGATGTGTTCCTCGCAGGAAGTCCGCATTTTACACTCGACTGAGGCCCTGTTAGGGTATTTGTTTGGCCGGGGTAGAAGTTTGGAGGAGAGCCTAGAAAACTGATAAAGAAAGGGCATTATTTAACACAATCTCCCAACAAATATTAAGCCACTTCTTTTTCTTTCTTCTTTTCTCTAATCATGGGATCCCTCTCACTGTCAGGGCAGAAAGACATCTCTGGAATGGGCCCATCTGTTCACTTTGAATAAAGTACTTTTCTGTGTCTATAATATTTCCGTGGTCCAACTTCTGGGCTCTACTGGCAAATTTGGCCGGTAAGCTGGACTGCTTCGGCCGGCTTAGCGGGGCTTCGTGGGAGTTATGTCCCTTGGCCAAACTCAAAACAAGTCGCGGAAAAAGTCACGAATCAAACGGCATACTTACCTATCATCATCTGGGTGCGTGTAGGGTTGCGTAGGGTGTCTATCATCGTCCTACGGTTGCGTGTAGGGCTGCTTATTGCGTGTAGGGTTGGTTGTTTGCGTAAGATAGATGAGGGGTAGGGTTAGGGTTAGCGTTTAGGGGTTAGGGTTAGGGTTTAGGGTTAGGGGTTAGGGTTAGGGTTTAGGGTTAGGGGTTAAGGGTTAAGGGTTAGGGTTAGGGTTTAGGGTTAGGTGTAGCGTTAGATGTGACAATTGTGACGCCGTAGTTCCCTACAATCGCGCACAGTCGCATGCACGCGCAAACAGTCGACGGACGGTGGATGCTACTGACACGGACAATTCGCTGCCACCGATTGGGGCACCAGCCGCCGCGCGCTATTGCCGTCATATTTGGCACTTTTCAGTGGCGCCACTCCCACAAGCATCAGATTGTCGGCCAGTATTTTCACCTCCTACGTGAATATTTTCACATCATCTTTTCCTACCCCTACCCCTAACCCTAACCCTAACCCTACCCCCTAACCCTCCTCCTAACCCTACCCCTAACCCTAACCCTAACCCACACCCCTAACCCTACCGCTAACCCAAACCCTACGCAACCCTACACGCAACAGTATGATGATGATGATAGACACCCTACGCATCCCTACACGCAACCGTATGATGATGATAGACACCCTACGCAGCCCTACGCGCAACCGTATGATGATAGGTAACCCTAGACGCAGCCCTACACGCACCCGGATGATGATAGGTAAGTATGTCATTTGATTCGTGACTTTTTTTGCGACTTGTTTTGAGTTTGGTGAAGGGACGCGAAGGGACATAACTCCCACGAAGCCCCGCTAAGCCGGCCGAAGCAGTCCAGCTTACCGGCCAAATTTGCCAGTAGAGCCGAAAAACATCACCATTTTCTCTGCAAATAACAGTCTGACTTAAATTTTTTACTTCAAAAATGTCTAATGGCTTTTTCTCAGGGGTTGTCTGTTTTTCAGGTATAAACAATCTACATTTATATTATCATTTATTGGACGTATTAATCTCATTAATACTTTTATTTATATTTAATTATAGATTTATTATTATATAATTCATTATGTCCAACATCTGTTTCAATGGACAACCAAAATCCATCCGTTTGGCTAATGATCTTAAGTAGGTCCTATATTCTTCTTATTTGCATTCACTGGCTGTTAACTCCAGGAGCAAGTTCTGGTTGTTCATCCACTTCTTGACTTTGGTCTTGTTCCAGAACTTGTTTTTTGCACATCCCTTTGACAGGCTCATCTGTACACAGACTGTTGGTTCCTTGCCTCACAGACATATGCACCCTGACTTTGAAGGAAATACCCCCTAATTTGACAACTTTCACACTTTTCTCATTAGGGAGGCAATGGGTCTATTTCCCCCCCCCCCCCCCCCCCAAAAAAAAAAACGCAAATGGGGGTAAGACTTATTTTACAAGCAACACGGAAAATCCTGATATGACTTTTTTTTTTTTTTTAGGTTTGGGCTTTTTTTATGGAAAATTTAAGTAAAGTACACACAATTAGAACTCATAGAAGAAATTTTTTTTAAATGTGTAGGTGCTGTGGTAGAACATTAGCTAGCACTGCTGGAATAATAGTTGCAGGTTTGTATTGCCAGGGAAGCTGGTATTTTTTGTGTTTTCTTCTTTGCATTCACTATCTCTAAACTCCAGCAGAAACTTCTGGGCATTTATCCACCTCCAGGCTTCAGTCTTGTCCCAGAACCTGAGTGTTGCATGCAGATCTGTTTTATGGATCTGGCTTATTTATATGCAGACTCTTGGTTCCTGGCTCTTAGGCAGATAAACTCTGACTTTGAAGGATGCCCCCACTTAGTCAACTCCTACAACATGCTTTGGGGGGGGGGGGGGGCAGTGGATCTGTTATTGTTGTCCTCACAGGGTGCCCCAGAACCCACACATGAAATTTTTTTTTAAATTTGACCTGGGAATGGCCACCAGAAAATTACAATTAAAGTAAAGGCAGCAAGCATGATACCTATCACATTATTCATTAAGTGATAACTGATTTATAAACGTTGGGACCAGCACTATGTGCAGATTTCACCCCAGGTTACGGATACGGATTCTTGATTTGAAAAACAAGGAATTAATGAATGAATCAGTTAATCAAGAATTTACATCACTGCACTCACAAGATTCCCACACATGCTCTGTCCCCTTCTTCAGTAACCATCAAAGAGTTGATATGCTTATAGTACCAGTTTCAACTGGATTAAAAATCTGCTTATGTTTCCCTTTCAGTAATTAATATCTTTCACAATCCCCCAACAACCCCCCCCCCCCCCAATTAGTTTTTCAGTGTATGTATAGATTCTCTGTCTACTCTACGGCACTCTCCATTTGATTCCAGAGAGAATTCACCACGTCCGCTTTCACCACCAAATGAATGGAGTCTGCAGTTAATCTATCAGCTTACTCATTAACTTGCACACACGAATATCATAAATAGAACATCCATGCTATTCTCCTGATCTAAGTCTTTTCAAGTTATGCAAGCCACTCTATACGTAGGACGCTACTTTCAGTTTTCCAAAGCATGCTCTATTACAATAACAACATGTCAGGCTGTGCTGCTCTCAAGGAATCAGAAAGCTGCCATTTTTGCCTCCACTTCCATTCTCATATGGGATGTAGTGACTTTGGACGCGAGGCTCTGTTTTCAAGCAGTGTCATTCACCTTTGCAGTAAAACCCCACCCACTCTTCTTACCTCTCACTACAGACACATCTGTATATAGCAGTGGTCTCCAACCTTTTATAGGTCCGCACCCCCCCCCTTTTTTTTTTGAGTATATGGCAAGAATCCCTCGCTTCCATTGAGTATATGGCAAGAATCCAATGCCTCCCTTGACTATATGGCAAGGCCCCACGCCCCCTTGAGTATATGGCAACAATCCCGTGGTTACCTTGAGTAAATGGCAAGAATCCCGTGGTTACCTTGAGTAAATGGCAAGAATCCCGTGGTTCCCTTGAGTATATGGCAAGAATCCCTTGGTTCCCTTGAGTATATGGCAAGAATCCCTTGGTTCCCTTGAGTATATGGCGAGAATCCCTTGGTTCCCTTGAGTATATGGCAAGACCACACACCCCCCCCCCTTTTTTTTTCCTCCCCCCCCCCCCAAGCAAAAACATTAAAAAATATACATAAAATGTTATTTAAAAAAGGAAGAGTAGATTCTGCAATAAGGAAACAGACAGTATGGAAATACGTTCCTGTCAGAATGTGTTCTTAATCTACTATTAAAAGCCCTGTGTTATATTAATTAGAGTTTTTGCTGTAGATATACAATAGTCCTACAACAGATTGCAACGAACCGCCATGCATGGAGAGTCATGACCTCTGCCCTATGTGCCGCACTCGACACAAGAGGAAAGACTAACTAACTATACAATCTGCTTATGAAAACAAAAAAATTCCTTGGCTTTTTGTTTTATAGTTTTTTAAAATATGTTATTCTTTTATTTATAATTAAATTGAAAACACAGCATAGCAGATTATTTTGAATACAAATGCACTTAATTTTGAAATTGATTGACGCCCCAGTTGAATCCACCTCGTGTCCCCCTTCCCCTTTCCCAGGTTGAAGACTACAGGTATATATAACAATATCTGCTTGGCGTAAATTTTCATTGAAAGTCCCTTGCACTACTGACTCTGTTTCACCATGACTCTGTGCAAGGCTGTTTTGCTGGGCGCCACTGATATATTATTCCTCACCGGCCGGCGCGCTAGCT